TAATGGATAAAACCTATGTGTACGGTACATATGTACATGATACATGTATCACACATCCACAGTGTAAATGTACTTAATAACAATAATGATATCAGATATTTATATAGCATACATATCCACTATACCATACTTGGTCTACATGTTTTTCAATATGATGGACCACAAAAATCCAACGGTCCGAAGGAACCCCTACTGTTACAAGATCAAGCTAAACCCCAAGGATGCATTGAAATGATTGAGGATGACCCAATTCTTCTCTCATTCATATAGTACATGTATGTACCTGAGCAGAAATGGTCTCGCCGTGCTTGAGAGATGGGCACCATGAATTTCATCAAATTCATTTTTATTGTTTGATGGAAATTTGCTCTGCTCATGTTTTACATATACTTTACATAACATATTAGATACATAGATACATTGCTTAGATAGATGTCATAAGGGGATACCAAAAACAGAAACAGTAGTCAGTATTTGCTTTGACTTGCATAGAGGGGAAAAAGTGGCTACCATATGTGACATGAACAACAAATTACAAAAGAACTTGATTTTACGTAGAGGCTGGGCTAATTGTATGTACGTACTCGAGAGAGGAACAATTGTACTTAGTGTAGTTAGTGTGTAGTTAAAAAAAAAGGATTTCAGAGGGGGGGGGGGGCATGTGCCATGTGCCTGCTGTTTTCTTTAATTTCCCTGTTGGAACCACCACTGCCACTGCTCCTCGGCCTTTACTGTCAAGCTTGATACAGTAGATTCATCATTCCACCACCGATAGCATTTGTCTCTGAAGCACTTCTAATCACTCACCGTGCATAGTGTTTCTTCATGGCTCACTTAGACAAATCTATCACCTAGTGTTAGCAGATGCCCACCAGACATATATAATTTCCCTTCAACAATTTACACATGTGGGACTACATTTGTGTTTGACTGTTGCTTAGCTGAACATTATTCTTCATAATGATGAAACCCGCTTTTCAGTTGCTTACATATAAGCAAGAACAGTACGTGGAGAACTCAAAACCAACTTAGGCGAGGCGTCAAAAATAAATATACCAGCCAGCGGCAGCTAACTGCACTTGTGCGTCCTGGCTGCATTTTTTAAATTAGCTCAGCCGGCTACCGCTGGCGGTAGGACCCTCAATTAACTCATGATGTCATCATAATGGTTTCCGAACAAAAGCATGCGCCGGCTGCCGCCTTTCGAATGGAAACCGAGCCTCAGATCCCAGCCTGGCGCAAGCCGGCTGGGCTAATTAGTGAAAAATAATTGCCCCAGCCAGGCTTCGGCTGTAATTGCAGCCTCGATGCGCCAATACGTGAGGCGGCAGCCTGCTGGTATCGATATTTTTGACGCCTCGCCTTAAATGATTGAGAAATGCATTTTTTTTATTATCAGTAATTTTCATTGAAATTAATGCTCATAAAATGAAATTCATCCTTTCTTTTATCTCATATACTATATGGCTCAATCTTATTGTGTACCAGTAGACATCTTTGCAGCTGTGGGAAAATAATACTAGTATTTTCTTACATTTGGGCTATTTTAGAATTTGATTTCAAAATCATTTATTTTTTCAGTGGGAAATTGCATGTTAATCATTCTTTCTCTGACCATTCCATGTCTCTATTTCTTGCATCCCCCCCCCCTCTCTCTCTCTCTTCCACTTTGTCAATTTTTCTCTTCATCTCCCTATCTTTCTCTACTTCTATCGCCATATCTCTCCAATTCTCCCTCCCCCCCTCTCTCTCTCTCTCTCTCTCTTACTCAGAGAATTCTCTGTGATTCAAGTAACTCTTACATGCTGAGCGGTTTCTCATTTTCCACCACATGTGTTTGCCATCCTTTGGCAATGGTGCATCATCCCATGTATGGTGAAGGATGACCTGAAGGAAGTGCCCTTGGGTATTAGATATCTTTACAAGATGTGAACTTACACCAGTCTCATTCAGTAGAGCGGTGTGATGAGAGAGATTTGGACTGGTAACCTTGGGAATACCATGTACATGTATTAAAAATGTATTCACCAGAATGATGCAATATCTCTGATGTGATGAGAAATGACACAAGTAAGGTGGTATTGGATGATAGAAATACAAGATGTGAACTTACACCAGTCTCTGCCATTATAGTGATTAATGATGAGAGAGGTGTCATGGACAAGGATCTTTGGGTGTATATAAATATATATACATTGTACTTACAATTAATGCTGTGATCAAACATTTAACCGTCCGTGGCACTATCCGTTTTCAATTTGACGGTTTCACTTTCCTGTTCTTTAAAAAAAAAAAAAATGAGTATTATTATTTGTTTAATTTTACAATTTACACATGTATTAATTAGACTGGTGCCATATCCTTGCTGTGATGAAAAATTGCCCATGAAAGAACGCTTTAGGTGGTTAAGATCTATACAAGATGTGAACTTATACCAGTCTCTTTCTTGAGAGTGGTGTGGTTAGAGATTGTAAAGGAAAGGAACTTTAGGAATACAAATCGTACATACAATGTATTATGTAGACCACCTAGTTTTCAAAGATTTATTCACCAGAGTGGTGTCATATCATTTCTGTAATGAGAGATAACATGAGAAAGGTGGCTTTACGTGTTTTAGATCTGCACCAGATGTGCTCACTAGAGTGCTGTATATATCTCTCTTGTGAAAAAAAGTGATATATGATAGAGGTGCACTGTGGATGGTGGCACAGTTCGAGTCATGCTGCAGCATTAATGTCCATTGGCAAAGACAAGCATACTTTATGCATACTAGGAAGTTTGTTCTTGGCAACCATAAATCTTGGTCAAGGTTTGCCTGACATAGCAACCAACAATGTATGCAGACTGGATTCCAAATATTGTAGTTCATTCATTAATAACAGGTTAATGGAAAACCGTGTCACTATTAATAGGTCCCCAGGAAAGAAACATTCATAAATTTGAATATAATATTTAAGTAAACAGGTTTATTGATCAATTTGAGATCAGTGCTGAAATAGAGAACCCTATGTGCTACCACATGCCTGCATTGCCTTGCTATGGGATGCGAGAAGGAAAAATGAAGTAATTTAGAGGAGGCTAATTAAGGTTGCATGCTTAGACTCTAATTAGACCCTTAAAGAGATGGTTGAGTTCTCTTAATGGCTTTTGAATAAGCCAGTTCATAGTCGCAGTCTGAGCATGAGCAGATAAAGGTCATTGTAGACCAAATTATGAAATATACAGAGACAAAATACTGGATATTGCTTGTGAAAGTTATGTGATCATTATTCATGTATGCACAGGCAGTGCACTCAATGATACACAGCTGGAAGTATTCTTTGAAAAGGGGAAACAAAGGCTATTTATGTAGCACCTCCATCGCTGTAGGAGTGATTATTTTGAAATGTACAAAGTGAGACCTCTTCAGGTTTTGATGATCTGTGAAAATTTGGGGTCATTTTGGACATGTGTGCTAAACGTTAACTGGTCTATAATCAGCATAGGGCAATCTTGAAAGGTCTATCCGCCCATTGAAATGTGTGAACATATATTATATGATGTAATCTGAATGTGGTTTCTATGGGATATATATTGTACCAAGGGGTGTTACTGTTAAAAAGGGACTTTCTTTCAATTAATTTCTTTAAAGTCTCTGTGATCATATTAAAAAAACATTCCCAGCAAGGCAGCAACCTCTATACAGTTTATGCCACAATTTAATTGCATGACGCGTAGGCCATGACAACTATGTCTTAATTCTTGGTTTTAACAGTATTTCTTTTAATTTTCACATGAAATGTAAGTAAGTTTTGGACTGCAGACCTAGTAGCTCAGACTCCTCTATGCAAAGTCTGACAATGTTTCCACTTACAATCAAGAAGACATTTATGTACATGAACAATGTTTAATTAGTGGGGGGGGGGGGGGGGGGAGGTTGAGGCAATTTTCTAATTTGCTAATTTGCCCTTGGAAGGTTACTGTAGCCTATACATTATTAAAACTTAATTAATACATTACATTGGCTTACATCAGAGAGGCGACAAACGATAATGAATGTTGCATATAGTTGCCTTGGCATCATTTCAGGAAACCGTTAGAAGTAGAAGTGTAGAGGTATAGAGGTGATCCAGTGGTTATTAAAGTCTCTAGACTGTGAACCACAATGTAAAGGGTTCAAATCCCTGTCGCAGCACTGATGTCCTTTGGCAAGACATTTATTTACATTCGCCACACTCAACCCAGGTGAGGTAAATAGGTTCCCAACAGGAATTAGTTCCTTAAAGTGCTAGAGCCCTGTAATAGCAGTAATGATGCAAAATACAGGTTAATGATAATGGAGTGCAGTGAGTGGTAATGGACCAGATAGAAGCGCATTCAAAGACTCCACTATTATAATTATAAAAAATTCTCTGACATCCTATTGAAAACGCATGTATTAAAATGTATAGTTTCAATGGGATCTCGGCGCACTTGTACTTTATCCCGTTTTGGGAAACGATGCCATGTTCATAAGTCTGATCCTAATGTGATTCAATTCGATTCAATTCAATTCAATTGTTTTATTTTTCCAAATCATTATTTTTTTTAACATCAATTCAATTACAAATACAATTCATGTACAGTAACATACCAGATAATGAAAACAAGGGGAATCCCCCCCCCCCCCCCCCCAAAAAAAAAACAGAAGCTTGTGGGTTGAAAAGTTCCCTCAGTACACTATCATAATCAAACTGATTGGTGAGTTCATAGTTCCTAATAACTTGTAAAGTAAAAGTTCCTGAGGAGATGTGTTCCAACATACAAAATAACAAATTTATCCATTTACTCCAAGTAGAGAGCTGCCAGGGAGAAAGTCCCTAGAGCCATCATTTGCTGGACCATTGTTCATACTCAGAAAATACTAGGCCAGGCTACCTAGCCTTAGTAAGTAATTTATCTGTAATAATTACACATCAATTGCCAACCCGTTTTTTTTTTTTCTCTCTCTCTCTCTCTCTCTCCAATGTCTTCTGATACAGAATTACAAGAGAGGAAGTCACCAGACCTGCCACTGTCGGTCTGTCCCAGCCCTACGTCTACACTGCTTAAGAAGTGTGAGGCAAGGACACCGGACACCCAGCGCTTGACCAACCTACCCAGCAGACCACCGGTCAAGCTGGCGTTCGAGGACATCACATATAGCGTCCAGGTGGGGGGTAGCTGCTGCAGGAGACAGAGAGGTGAGATGGTTTAGAAAAAAATATAGGTTTGTAAAGAGATATCAGAAACGCAGAAGTTATTTTGTCCTATGTGTTACAGACTTGGTAACGACATGTTCATAAAATATTTTAGTATTTCAGATAAGCATCATGTTAAAGAGAAAGAAACACAGAGTCACAGATAGAGAGAGAGAGAGAGAGAGAGAGAGAGAGAGAGAGAAAGAGAGAGAGACATAAGAGAGAGACATGAGAGAGACAGATATATATATATATATAGAGAGAGAGAGAGAGAGAGAGAGAGAGAGAGAGAGCGAGAGAGTGAGTGTGTGAAATAATTTTTGTAAAAAGCAGGAATAACAATAGGAAACTCAGGACAGAATCAAGGAAGTCATTAAGATTAATGACATAATCAAAAGGTAGTTAATCATACCATGTGATAGTAAATGAGGATATTAATAGTACAAATTCTATCAGCTCAAACTTATTCTTTTATAATCCATGAATGATAGCACATGTGTTGTGATAAGCAACTTTATAGGATCACTTCAGAGTTATTATTGGCCTAATAAATCTTTAAGGGAGGGTCAGTAAACTTTGTAGTATAGCTTGACACTTTCTAAATGTGCTTTGTAAAACAACTCTTTTATATCTGTTTCTCATGTAGCCTTTCTTTGTTGACAGTTTGCCTTTGATGTAAAGTCAAGTAATGCTTTTTCTTGAATGAAGCATTTTGTTAATGTCTGCACAGAATTTTTTCCATTTTATATAAGAAGAGGAAGTTATGGCCATCCTTGTTCTGATGTTCTTGTGGCTCTTCAAAGTTTAGTCTCAGTAAAATGGCAACCAAAACTGTCAAAATTACCTGTGAAAAACCTGTCAGAATTTACTTGGATGTAAACAAAACGTATCAAAATGATCTCATCTGTTTGGCCGGAGCCAGAATGGATTTAACTCATATGTTTTAACACAGAGTGAATTCCTTTCTTGCTCTGAAAAAACAAACTGAAAGAAACCTGTCAGAATCACCTATAAACATAATGGAATGGACAAAATTTTGTCTACCCCTTCTTCTGCCCCCCCAACCCCCCCCCCCCCCAAAAAAAGGGGGGGGGGGAGAAAAAGAAAGAAAGAATTGATCACAAAGCAATGAAAAGCACTCACATTTTAAAGGCAGTGCCCTGTGGGTTTTTTTTTACCTATAAGAAATGACAGCTGCCTGGAGGGTAGTGGAATATGATGTATTGAGTCAGCCAGCTGCACTCAATTTTTTTTTTGAGTAAATGTAAAATTCATGTCAAGCAGTCGGCTATTGAATTATGGAAGATATTGCAAGTGCTGATTTTTCAGCCAATATGGTGTGACTATCCCCCACTCTTTCTCTCTCTCTCCTTCTCTCTCTCTCTCTCTCTCTCTCTATCCCTGTCTTTCTCTAACCCTTAATCTCTTCCCCTATATATATCTCTCTCGCTGTGTCTTTGTTTGTCTGGCTGTGTCCCTGTTGTGTCCCTCTCTCCCTCTCTCTCTCTCTCTCTCTCTCTCTCTCTTTCTCTCTCTCTTTCTCTCTCTTTCTCTCCCCTGTCGTCCTCCATTCTTATCTCTCAACATTCTCCATCTGTCTCCCCTATCCCCCTCTCTCCCCTCTCTCCCCCTCTCTCCCCCTCTCTCCCCCTCTCTCCCCCTCTCTCCCCCCTCTCTCCCCTCTCTCCTCTTTCCACCTCTCTCCCTCTGTAACTCATCATCAACTCATCTCTCTTTCATTAATATAATATTAATCTCAATTTTTAATTCCATTTTTTCTCTCCTCTCTCTCCCTTTCCGTCTCCATTCCACCGTCGATTAGAATGCAAGACCATATTGAATGGTCTATCAGGATGTTTTCTTCCTGGTGAATTGATCGCTATCATGGGACCGTCCGGAGCAGGCAAATCATCCTTCATGAATGTCTTAGCTGGGTACAAGTAAGTGCTCCATCACTATTTAAAGGTATAGACCAGTTTTGGAAACGCCCCCCCCCCCCTCTCAAAAAATGGAATGAAAGCTCTTATTACCAATCATGTGAAAGAATATGTTTTGACTAATACGTGATGATACAAATTTAGCTGGGAAACCGCTTACTAATTGATATATTTGGTAAATTATTATATCTTTCCGGACTGGATAGATATCGCGCATGTGTCGCGTAGTCCTATACTTCTTCCTGTGTACAGTGCTTGTAACTTTGCCAAGACTGGGCCGAATTTGTTATCATTTCGATGATTCCAGAACCTTGCAGTACACACCAATACTTATATGCTAGATGATCAACCTTTTCTGATCAATTCCACAATGTTTCTTTCACAATGCACCCGTATGACCAGAACTGGTCTTTACCTTTAACTTGTTGAATACTAAGTCCAAGATAACTCTGTCTCACATTTTTGGAAAATGTCTGTTATTCTAAAATGTAATAGATCTGTTTGATAGAACAGTTACGCACAAATAGTTTAGCTGAAAATAACTCATGACTAGAGAAACGAAGGTCTTAGGTTCGGTAAGGGACACGGCAAGACATTAATCCTGTTTATAATAATAATGATAATGATAATAACAATAATGATAATGTGTCTTCTTTAGCTAGAGTAGCCTCATTAGTTGTTCTCCCTTTGTGTTGCCACTCTCATCTCCGGCCAGGTTTTAAATGGGTACCCAGACGGATGCAAAATTCTTTATAAGTTTGTTCAACATTGTGAGGTTCTGTAAAATGACGTCTGGCTGGAATGCTCCCCAGTGAGTGGAGAGTGTGCATGCAGGCATGAAACTGGGATAAGAGTATCTCTGTCAAGTGCTTAGAGACAACGTAGATATATCAAGTGCTGTATAAACCAAGAATATCATTATGAATAATCCTTAATTGTTCAGAACTAACCTGAATATTGTTCCAAAGAATAGATTTTCTGTAAAGTGCTTAGAGGCGTCGTCGATGTATCAAGGACTATACAAGTTTAAGTTTGAGTTTTAAGTTTTATTATCCAAACAAAAAGTACATCAATATAACAATCAAATGTGAATGTTTAACATTGAAAGGATATCATTATGAATAATCCTCAATTGTTCAGAACTAACCATAAATATTGTTTTGCTTCTTGTTTTCTTTGATAGAACTACAATGACTAAAGGTACGGTGCTGGTGAATGGAGAGATCCGTGATCCGCAGCTCTTCAGGAGAATGTCATGTTACATCATGCAAGACAGCCATTTATTACCACATCTCACAGTCAGAGAACAAATGCATGTAGCGGCCGGGCTAAAACTCCCTCGTAGGATGAAATGGAGTGAGAAGAAAGCAGCGGTAAGGATAGATTGAATGAGGGATAGATAGATAGATGGCCAGAAAGAAAGATTCAAAGATAGATAGATAGATAGATACATCTTACTGTTATAGATGCTATGCATGTAGCGGCTGAAACTCCCTTGCAGGATGAAATGGTGTGAGAAGAAAGCTGCGTAAGAATAGATTAAATGAGGGATAGATAGATAGATGGCCAGAAAGAAAGATTCAAAGATAGATACATGTAGATAGATACATCTTATCGTTATAGATGCTATGCATGTAGCGGCTGAAACTCCCTCGCAGGATAAAATGGTGTGAGAAGAAAGCTCGTAAGAATAGATTGAATGAGGGATAGATAGATAGATGGCCAGAAAGAAAGATTCAAAGATAGATACATAGGTAGATACATCTCACCTTCAGGAAGCCACAAATGCATGTAGCGGCCAGGCTAAAGCTCCCTCGCGGGATGAAATGGAGTGAGAAGGAACCAGCGTAAGGATAGAATGAATGAGGGATAGATACAATTTAGAGATACAGATAGATGAATAAATGGGTATAGAGATAGATTGATATACAGATAGACATGTAGGTGGATATGTAGATCATACAATCTGAAGCTGTGCATGTTGAGGCCGGTCTGTAACTCCCCATAATGGACTAAAAAGATTGTTGCATTAGGCCTGTCATCATCAGCTCAAGATTGCCAAATAGCCCGCCATTTTCCGATTTGGGAAATAAATCAGCTCGAGACTTGACCTCGAAACTTGAGCTTGACAAATTGCTTAACAAATTAGCTTGAGATATTTTGCTTAGTGTTTGTGCAAATTGCGAGTCTTCGGGCTGGTGCAAACGCACCGGACAAATAGCAGGACAGTTTGCAAACTAGCTCAAGATATCTTGGGATGATTATCTCAACCAAGTCCCGCTAATTGCAACTTCAGGCTAATGAGGACGCAAATTAACTGGATAATTTGCGATGAGGATAGTTCTATTTGCGGGGTATTTGGCAATCTCGAGCTGTTGAGGACAGGCCTCTTGTGAGGATGGATCTGATATGGAATAGATTGATAATAAGATACTGCTGATTTATTCCTGTATACAGAAAGATGAATCAATAGACCGTACTATCTGGATGTGTGCATGTTTTTCTTTGGAACAGATCGTTTTGAAAGCAACCATATTCCTGGTCGTTTGGAAACTCACTTGCTTCTGTTTATCCCATCACCATGGAAACCATAGAATGAATGCATGCCGTTGCTAGACTATGATGCATACAAATGCAGCATAAGAACAAAAATAATTCCCACTCTCATTATTTATCTAGGATGATCTATAGACATGTATGCCCACGGTGCATGCATTAATCTGTGTGTATCGTTTCCTCACGGTTTACCATCTATTAGAGTAGAATTTGACTTGAAAATATAGGAATGAAACAGTCCCATGATTCTTTCAATCTAAATTATTGATTTTCTATTGAAGCCTGTCTGCACTTCTTGTAGCTACATGCGCCCTCTATATAGCAAACAATGCCTGAGCGGTTGGTCCCCATGATGCCCCTTTTCTTATGTTAATTGAGAGCTGATTTGATGAGATAACCACCTGTCAGTGAGCATACAGGGAGGTCTAATCCCTCCTGGCCAAACTAGTGCAGACAGGCTATAAATTGAAAATCACAGCTCTCAAGGTGCACATAAATGCATAATATCTATTTATTCGTAGACAGTGTACATTCTTTTGACACAAAATGTTTACATCCATCAGGCTGCATATATCTATCTTTCTACATGCATCTAGTTTCTGTCTGTCTTTTAATCTATCTACAGAGACAGAACTTATTTCTATCTATCTGTCTATCTACATATACATTGTATTATGTACTCCATAATTTATCTTTCTGCCCACTTGTTATAATAAATATATATTGTAACAGTCTCATGGTCTCAATACTTCTGCATCGATCCTTGTCATAGATGGAGATATCTGTTTCTTTCTTTATCTTCTTTCCTCTCTTTCTATATATCTGTTCTGTCCTTTCTATAATACATTATCCTTATCTGTTAATGACCATGAATGTTTCTGCTCATCTATCTTGTACCATCCTATCTATGTTAAACTTATAGAAAAATCTACTTACCCATCTATCTATCTATCTATCTATCTATCTATCTATTTATCTATCTGTGTGTCTATTTGACTATCTATCTATTTACCTACAATGTATCTATCTACAGTGTATCTATGTGTCTTTCTATCTTCCTTTCTTTCGATTAATATATTCATCTGTTTATCTATCTATATTCCTATTGATCTGTCTTGTATCATCACTTCTACATGTGACTTTTAACAAAAACCTGGCCATCTATCTATCTATCTATATATATATCTATATATCTGTGTATCTATCTATCTATCTAACTATATTAAGCAAATAACTACCGTTGGTGAAGGTGATGGGACAAACTATCACTTCTGAGGCGATCTGGATGTAGCTATCTTTCCGAAGTGAAGCTGAGGAAAGATAGCGTATAAATTCAGATCCCTGAGGGAATGATAGTTTGCCATCGCCTGAAACCAAAAGGTGATTATTTGCTTTATATTCCACATCGGAAACATTTCACTTCTTCCGTCATTTTTAGAGCAACAAGTCATCAATTAACAGATAGCAAACGGTGTATGATACGTACACAGTGCATGCAGTATGGTGGTGTGACCATATAGTTCGTGCGTGGCCAAAGTTCGCTAACACTAACACTAAAAGCGCTTAAAGAGGAAAGCGATACGCAGGGTATACAATTAAAGTGTGTTGCACTGTGTAGATAGTAGCCTATCTACACAGTGTAACAAACTTTTGGCTTCTCCCAGCAATGATGGGCGAACTATCTTTCATCACATGATTTACTTTTGACCAATGGTAGAGCAGGATTCTTAGTATGTGGAATATAAATCTATCTATCTATCAGTCTATCTATCTTTCTTTCTATCTATTTATCTATATATCTATGCATGTATCTATCTATATATTTATGTACCTATCTTTCTATCTATCTATGACTATCTACCGGTATCTATCTATCTCTTTATCCATTCTACTATCTATCTTTTTATCTTTTCTTGGTCTTCTTTATCTAACCTTGTTCTAGATCGATGAGATCATGAGCCTGCTTGGTCTTATAGAGTGTGCCAAGACCAGGACCTCTCAGATCTCTGGGGGCCAGACCAAGAGACTAGCGATAGCCCAGGAACTGATCAACAACCCTCCCGTCATGTTCTTTGATGAACCTACCAGGTAATCTTTTTCTTCAATGGATCTGTATCTCTTCAACCATTCTTGTCCCTTTTTTGTATATGTTATGGGGTAGCCCTGCTTACAAGCTGACAACATCTGGAGCATTCCAGCAATTTTTATATCCCCTGGGGGTGTTTCTCAAAGATCCGAAGTTGAACTTACTCTAAGTTGGCCTTAACAATTATGGAAAGCGGTTAGCATCTTTGAAAATATTTTGTAAAAAAAAAGTTATTTCAAAAGGCATAACATGTTGATTCAAATCATTCATATTTTCTATTATGAAGGAGATTTCATGTTCTTTATGTAAATACTGGAATTTCTGCTTATGAATATATTTCATTTTAAGGCTACAAATGGCTCTCCATATATTTGAAGTCCAACTTAGAATTTGGTTCTACTTAGGATCTTTGTGAAACACCCCCTGTTATGTAGTAATTGTGATTTGTTAAATAATTATTTAAAGAATAATTCAATTCACAATTCATCGTGACTTTATATTATCAATACTTTATATGTTTTTATAAAGGAAGTGAAAATAAATTACTAAATTGACTTTAATAAAACGGAACCTTTTTTGTGTGCAAATTGCCTCTCTTCATCCAGGTGTTAAACATGCTGAATGTGTTTCAAAGATAATTTAAAGCGGGACTGCACTACTTGTAGCTACTTGTGCCCTCTATATAGCCAACAATGATATATATACCATGCTTTGCACCAGCTAGAAACAAACCAGATTTGGGCGATGTTCCCGAATTTGAGTTTTTTGGACGACGGTTGCTGATTTGAGGGGAAAAAAAGAAAGAAAAGATATATCCAACTAACCGACCCAGGTTCTGGCACTTAAAGGGCAATACAACATTTTTAATTATAATAATTGCAGGGCCCACAGAAGAGCAGTATTACAACTGATGTGGCTACTCTGGTTTAATGATAACCAATGTTTTTTTTTCTTCTTTCAGTGGTCTAGATAGTATGTCCAGTTTGACCTGTGTGAAGCTCCTGAAGAGCCTGGCCCACGGGGGGAGAACTGTCATCTGTACTATCCATCAGCCAAGTGCAAAACTCTTTGAGATGTTTGATAAGGTAACGATCAGATTAAATATCTTCAAACTGTTTAAATGCTATAAATTGTTCTATTATTGCGGTGTACAAGAGGATTTTACATGAAAATGCCGTGATGGTTATCAATGATAAACGAAGAAGAGGTCACACAAATGATTATTATCAGTTTCATTGGAAGTATAAAATAAAAAGTAACAACTCTGCTTTTGAACTTCATTAGTCTTCAGACTTTGTGATGTGTATTCTAAGGACATAGGGAAAAAAAAGTTAGTTTAGAAGCCGAGCAGGATCACATTATACATCCTTATAATAATAATAATAGTAAACCACTTAAATCTCTAAGCGCTATGGATATTAGAGTGGATAGAAGCCCTGAAATGAGTCTAAATTTGGGGGGGGGGGGGGGGGGGGGAGGAGGGGGGGAGTGGCCTGTAACTCACAAGCATACTTTTCACCATAAGCCCCTCCATATCTCACTCCTTTCTTTTTTGTTCTCACTTTCTGTTTTTGTCTCTTTCAATAGAATCCATATATATTGTGTACCTTTTACTTAATGAAATAAATGTGAAATATGAAACGATAAACTGAATCTGAAATGTAGAGGATTTGTGGTCCATCGGATAAGTCTCCCGAATGTGTAGGGTTCAAATCCCTGCCACAACATTAAAGTCCTTTGGCAAGACATTGATTTAAATTTGCCACTCTCGACCCAGGTGAGGTTTTATTTTGTTTATTTTTCATTTCCAACAGAACAGTTTGACAAGAAATCAGATATACAATTTCAACGTTCAATAATATAATACATTTTACATGGTTTAAAGTTATGAATTAGTTCATTGTTGCCTGGCAGGAATTGTAAATAGTAATTCCTTAAAATGCTGTAGCGCTGTTGCGGCATTTGTGCAAAGGCCAGGGTAATAATAACGGAGTGCCACAAGTGGCAATGGCCAGGCCATTCATGAGCGCTGTACAAGAACTCACTATCATTATCATTATTTAATGTGACCTTTGACACTTGTTGTTTTTGTTGTTTCTTTTCTAGTTATACATCCTAGGAGACGGCCAGTGTTTGTACAGAGGCACAGTAGCTAACCTGGTTCCATACCTTCATTCCATGGGCTTTGTATGCCCACCCTATCACAACCCAGCCGATTTTGGTAAGATGGCATGAGGGAGGGGGGGGGGGGAGGGGAAAGGGGAGGGGGAAAGGGAGGGGAGGGGATAAATACATGTACAATTAACAACTAAATTATTCATATATAACAAGATTTGTTACTTTTTATGAATGTGAAAATTGATTTGTCCCGATTTATGTTTCGTGAGAATATGACATATTAAAGCTTACATCTAAAAGTATTCAACAAAGGCCCTAGTCAACCTTTCATTCTTGACGTAGGTAAACACAGAAATATCAACATTTACAAGTGGTATGAATAATTAAGTTGTTAACTACATGTGTATGTGATGTCCTGATATATGTTTCCATGATAGCTGAATGTAACTTGGAATATGCATGTGCAATGTATTAATGTTTCATGCTCCATTTAAAAAATGAAACCGAAAGTAAATACTAAAACTTGAAACTGGTCTGCTGAATGATTTAATAGTCATAACTCTTTTCATCCACTTATTTTGCCTTAATGATTTTATCTTGTTAATCTTACGTACCTTAGCATACAACTTTTGGTAATTGATTTGTAATGATTTGGTAATTTTAGAGTATGCTTACAATCGATTCAGCTCACAAATTAATAATAATCTATGAATATCTGAGAGGAAATATGATTGCATACACATATTTTGATTTATCTTTATTTTTTACTATGAACTTTAACAAATTTTGAATGCATTTTGTTTTAATGATTTTATAAAATTGTAAAAATTCACACAATTCCGCCTTCTCGCTACGAGACGATTTTGACGAAAACAAAACATTAAGAATAGTATGATCCTTCATCTACTATCACCACCATGAAAATATGTTTCTATCTCAATTTTTATCTCGATTTTTGATTTTCTGCATTTTCTGAATGTTTCTTGCCATCTCCCCTCATCTGTAACGATAAGGACCCCCTTTGCCTCTTTCCCCCTTCATCTCTCTCCTTCTTTCTCTCTTTCTCATCACTCCAACTCTCCCTCTCCTTCACCTCTCCCTTTCTCTTTATTTTTTAACAAAAATTTGAATTTGATCAATGAATTTTTATGAAATGTCTGTTTGATTTTCGATTTATGTCATATTTTGGGTTACTTCAATATTAATTAGTTGTATTGTATCTTTGTGAAACAAATCGCAAATTTGCCATTGGCCGCGATGGTCTGTTTAAAACCATTTCTATCTATTTCTATTATCATCACTCTCCTTTTCCTTTCACAGTCATAGAACTTGCATCGGGTGAATATGGCACAGCCATGGAGCAATTGACCAAAGCCGTGGAGGACGGAGAATGCGAGCGATTCAGCAGCCATACCAGCCAGTCGTCCATACAGGGGGCATGTGGGGGCGTGGCCGTTGCTAACGGCAACTCGCAGACCAATAACGGCATGGCAACGGTGGTGATTCAGGAGCCAGACGGGATCAGTACCAAGATAACAACAGTAAGTGATGAAAAACAAGCAAGATGGCTCAGTGGTAGAGCAGTTGTCTTGTATAACTGGAAGGTCCAGGGTTTCAAACCAGGTTGATGCCTCAGCCCCTTTTGGTAAGGCATTAATTCTCATTACAAAGTCCCCTGGAGAAGACTTACACATACCTGCCAACCCTTACAAATAATCCAGAATATTCTGTTTTTTCAAAAAGAAATTGTGCCAAATTAAGCTTGTTTTATCATGAGCCGTGATTTGAGAGTTCAAGTTTTGCGTGCGTCGAATATCTGCATGATCGAGCAGCGAATTTGTATTCACTTTTTTCTACAGATTTACCTTGTATTTGCCAGTTACACTGCCGCTGCATGTGCGAACGCCTGGTTAAGGGTACAGATTTCTTATTTTCGAAGGCGTACCGTGCTAAAATCACTAATTCTTATTTTCAAATGTTGACAGGTATGCTTACATTTGGTGATCCCCTGGTTGCATACCTACAAGCTTGCTCTTGCACATGCATGCTTTCTTAGTAATCAGGTGAAACAAACCAACAATCAAACTTATCAGAAACTAGAAACCTGCCTGCATTAATATAACAGGTTGGTCTAGATTGAATAAATTAACGCAATACTACTGAAAAACCAGGAATTTTCATGACATAAAACTTTCAAGAATTGTTCAGTTGGGCTATTTTCACTGCAAAAAACTGTTCTCGAATTGAAATAAAAATAGTGTTATGTCGGTTGCAATTAAACTATTTGACAGCATGAACTTTTCATGAATCTAAACCTTTCAAAATGTTTGCAAACCTTTATCACTAGAATAGTTAATGGTTTTTACAAATTGAATTAAACTACACAACATTTCTTTAAACAAATTTGCAGCAGTTTGATGAATGAATGAATAATGAGTGTCACTTGATTTACTACATGTACATGTTTCTAATGAAGTACTAGGATGCAAGCTAAGAAAATTTATACCCATACCTCTCAGTATATAGTTAAATTTGTGTGTGTAAAGCATCATATTTACTGATGGTTAGTTAGAGATATACTTTCTGTTTACTTTAGTCAAGTATTAAAGGGGATATCTCAGATTTCTCGCTGATGAAAATGCTGAATGTAAATGTTTACTTTTTATCCATCAAAACATTATTATCAGAATAATATTTTTTGTTTGCCTGCAGCCGGAGCACAAATTGCCAGACTTTTTAACGACAAGTTTTGGAACAGATGTTTTCATGCAGTTCTGGGTTCTCTTCAAGAGAACTTTCATCACCATCTTCAGAGATCCTGTAAGTATGATGATGGTGAAATTTATGGTGGTTATGACGGTGATGATGATGATGATGATGATGATAATTATGAAGATAGTGGTTGTGGTGAGAGTGATGATGATTAGGATGATGATGATGACGGTTGTTTTGGTAGTAGAGATGATGATGATGATCATGATCATGATGATGATGCTGATGATGATGATGATGATAACGGTCGACGGTTGTCGTAGTGAAATTATGATGAAAATGATGATAATGTTAATAACGGTTGTCATGGTAGTGAAATTATGATGATGATGATGGTGAAATTGATGATGATGATGAAAGATGACAATGATGTTGGTGTGATGCTGCTGCTGGTGGTGATGGTGATAATGATAATGATGATGATCTTGATAATAATGATGATGCATCCCGACATGCCTCTCACCCTCCTCCTTCTCTCCTCCTCCTCCAGACCCTCACTCACACACGGTTCTCCTCTCATGTAGTCATAGGGGTCTTAATCGGCCTCCTCTATCTTGACATTGGTGATGATGCTGGCAAGGCATTCAACAATGCCGGTTTCCTCTTTCTTTCTATGCTGTTTCTCATGTTCTCTGCAATGATGCCTACAGTATTATCATGTAAGTGTGCCCACTTTTCCATCACAATTCAAGGTGATTCTTTGCAATTCGTCTGGTGTCACATTTGTCTTTCATCCATTAATTTCGAACAAAAATCAATAATCTCCTGATAAAACCAATAACTGATTGTAACAACACAAGAAAGAACTATTAGTAAGTGTTCATGCAAAGAGATATTCATTTTTGGATAAAATGAATTGGAAGAAACATAACTTGTACAGGACATAGTGGAAGGAACCTTCAGCATAGGTGGTAGTGGATTCTATGGGAGCATAATTCTTAGGAAAAAGTCCTAACTACCTGACCGCCCCCCCCCATAAAAAAGATGAATTAGTTCAAAACAAGTTAACACATGTAATGTGAGAAGGGGGCGGGGGTAGGATTCAAATGTGCATGCTTTCGTCCATGTTGTTTTCTGTTGTGTTCATCTGTTATCATGGTAATAGATTGGCAGTGTGGGTATTGGATCCAGTGCTCATTGATGACATAACTGTAATTCTGCTCCTGTTATTCCAATTATTATAATCTAGCTTCCACCATGTCCCTCTTTTCATCTCATCCTATTCTCCTTTTTCTCTACATTATGCTGATTATCATGACAGTTTCCAGTGATTCTTTTTTATTTGCTTTTCCAATTCTGTTCATAGCATCCCGGTATTCAAATAAGCATTTTGGTCAGTCGTATTATTACTGGTATCAGCGAGCGTTTCTCAAACTCTTTCTTGTCTCTCTCTGTTTGGTTTGCTGTTTAGTTCCACTAGAGATGAATGTTTTGATACGGGAGCATCTCAATTACTGGTATAGCTTGAAGGCATATTATATTGCTAAAATGATGGCTGATCTACCATTCCAAGTAAGTATGGTGCTCTCACATCTGCCCCAGCAACAATAGCTCGATCCAGGAGGGTGTTTCACAAAGATCCTAAGTCGAACTTAACTCTAAGTTGGACTTATACATTATGGAGAGCCATTTGTAGTCCTAAAATAAAATGTATTCAAAAGCAAAAATTCAAGTGTTTTAGACTTTTCATAAATCCTCCATCAAGAACATGAAATCTCCTTGAAAAAAGAAAATATGAATGATTTGAATCAACATTTTATGCCTTTTAAAATAACTTTTACAAAATATTTTCAAAGATGTAATGGCTTTCCATTATTGTTAAGTCCAACTTAGAGATAAGTTCAACTTAGGATCTTTGTCAAACATCCCCCAGACGGATGTTTCACAAAGACTAAGATCAAGCTTAAAGATTATATCTGAACTGAAAAAAGGAAATGGATGAATTATATATCAACAGAAAGCTTACAAGCCATAGATCAATTATAATAATATCAATTATATGCCATTTTATTGTTTGTCAGAGGAGTAACAGCTCTCAGAAAACTCAAAATCTAAAGCTCTGAAAATAGAAGTTGTCGACCTAAAAATTCAACTTGATGACATCATCTTATGTGGAGTACGCATATTCACAATGACTTTGCATTAATTAAGCACGGCTCATCGCCTCAGTTTTATAGGTAAACCAATAGGGTCCACATGTTCTGTCGTCACTGTAGCTTTGCCTTTGGCAAAGTTGACCCTTGTTGACCCGTAATTTGGAGGGGTGCGGAAAATGAGGTTTTAAATTGATTTGTGCAATAAATAGGAAAGGGTAAATACTTTGAAGTTGCCTTATGTATCTTTATTGTGTTTTTAAACTTACAATAGCTAGGGTAATAATTTCCAAAGCTCTTTGGAAGTGCATAGAGACGTTATATAATGTGATATGCGCTATACAAAAACTGAATATTAATATATTGTTATGAAATTGTTTTTACTTGTTGTTTACTGTTGTACAGTGACGTAAAACCTCTACCATACAGAGGAAAGTATTATTTGATGGCAACCCTTTCATTCCTGTTTTATTTTCAGATTATAATGCCTGCTGTTTATTGTACGATAGTCTACTGGATGACAGGACAGCCCACAGATAGCGGTAGATTTACATTATTCATCGCCATGGCAATATCCACATCATTAGTTGCACAGTCATTAGGACTGATAATAGGTGCAGGGCTACCATTGGAGGTAAGACATTGGGATTTCATTTACCATTAGCCTCATTAGGTAGCGTAGTGTAGGGTTGCGGTTCTCACACAATTCCTAGCAGTCTTAACACAGAGGGCAGCCCAGCAGACATGTTTTCAGATTGATACCTGCTGGCTAACTAACCAGGTTTTAATGTGTAATTGCATTACTGCATTCTATGTAGCATTCCACATACATTCCATGCAAATTAGAAGAAACAAATTAATATTCATATACCGGTAGTCACATACAAGTATAAATCAACATCACAAATTATTCTTGAATATTCAAACATAAACGCGAGGTATATATTGACTATTCATAGTTACGTAAATTATACTTTAAAGCCCCACTGTCCTACTTGGAGCTACTTGCTCCCTCTTTATAGAAAACTTCCCCAATCGGTGCCTGTTGGTCCCCCATGATCCTCTATTTCTTATGTTATTTGAGAGCTGAGTTGATGAGATAGCCACCTGTCAGTGACCTCGCTGTGTGGTCTAATCCCTTCTAGCCAGACTAGTGTTGATAAGCTTTACTACATCGGGTGAACATTGATAGATGAAAGTATGGTGTATGAAAGGGTGAATGTGAATGAGGGATGACCTGTTAGTATGAAAGGGATGAATCATGGATATGAAGGGAAGTTTAAGAAGTTCAAAATAAATCCCTACAGTAGGTTGCTCACTGACATACAAAAAAGCCGTCCTTTCTTTCTCCTTTTTCTCCTTCCCCCGTTCTCTTGATTTCTTCTCTGACCAATCACCCCCTCCCCCCCCCCCCTCTCTTTATACCTTTGATCAACTTTGTCCCCTATAACTGTTCATCTTATCATCCACCACCTCTTATCTCCCCTTATCTTCCTCCGATGCTCCTCTAACTTCTACCACCTCTCTTCTTATTTTCCACAATATCTCCCCTTACCTTCAACCAATAATCCCCTCATCTTCCACTTCCACTCACTCATCTTCTACCAACTCTCCCCTTTCAACTCTTTCCATACCCTTCATCATATCTTCCCTTGCCCCTGTCGACTCCCCCTCCCCTCCCTTGTCCTCATCGACTCCCCCCTCTCTTGCCCCCATCGACTACTCCCCCCCCTACTCTTGCTCCCGTCAACTCCTCCCCTACCCCCATCGACTCCCCCCCCCCTCTTGCCCCCATCGACCCCCCCCCCCCCCCCCATCAACTCACCCTTGCCTATGACCACACCCTAACATAACCAGGTGGCTGTATTTGTAGGTCCAGTCTCGAGCATCCCCATCCTCCTCTTCTCGGGGTTCTTCGTCACCCTGGATAACATCCCTAGCTACCTGCGCTGGATGAGCTACGGTTCCTTCGTGCGCTACTCCTACGAGGGTGTCATGATATCCGTCTACGGTCACGATCGAGGACCCATCCCTTGCAAGAGCCAGGACCACTGCATCTTTGAGACGGCTCAAGACATTCTAGACGAGCTGGACATTGGTTCGGACAACCTCACGCTGGACTTTGGTGTCTTAGCCGTCTTCTTCATCATTCTCCGTGTCATATGTTACTGCATATTAAGGATGAAGGTCAAACGACTCATTTAACCAATGTTTCCTCCGATTTGTATATTTCCAGGGGGGTGTTTCACAAAGACTAAGATCAACTTGAAGTTGGACTAAACTATGACAGGCCATCCATGCCACTGGTTGCTCTCACTATTGGTCTCTCAATTATGATCTTATAGATAATACTTTTTCCTTAAATAATGAATTATCGAAAGATTTCAATTCTGTAGATTTGTGACGTCCCTTGAGAGACCAATGCCAGAGCAAACAGTGGCCTAAACAGCCCGCCATAGCAGTCCAACTTAAAGTCAATCTTAGTCTTTGTGAAACACTCCCCAAGTCCCACTTGAGATTCAATGGAATTATAATTGTACTTGAGATTTTTCCTATTTTCATCTTTTGTTGTCATTGCACCTAGAATTACTTTATTTTGATAATGTAAAATGGAGACAGCTCTTGTACCCTTGTTTCTACTTTCAATTTTCTAATTCCCAATCCTCTTTTATTGGGACTTTTCTGAACAAAACTCAGGCCTATGACAGCGAAAAAATTCATGTTTCCATTTACCGGTAGTTCATCAAAACTCTGTGAATGATGAATTGTACTACAATACATATTTAGACTAAATGATTGTCTTTGATCCATTCCTTGAATGTTTCCAATTCATATTTAGCACTCTACGGAATCGGATCTCAGGTCTTTGGAAGTGCATAGCGATCCTCTAGCTACTCTCTATGATCTCGCACATGCATCAAATGCAGATTTGACAATCAGTGTTACAATGTAATTTATGTCACTACCAAAATGGCTGATTTTTGTCTTCTAAATTTATGTGTGTTAAGGCTTTGTTTGTTCATCATGTTCTGGATCAATTGAACAGGTTGCATCCTGGGGCCCGTTTCACAAAGCCTTTTTTCAATGACAAATGACAAAAATCATGGACAAATCTGCTGATAACCAATCAGAAGCAAGGATTTCAGTAGCTTATAACAAAAACTGTCATTTGTCACTGATGACAAGTTTTGTGAAACGCCCCCCCCCCCCTGGTGTACACCATACACGTTCATGCGCTGGCTTTATTAACTCTTTGCTTGCTCATTAGTTGACACATGAAGCACACTGCGAGTAGACTACCTTAGTCATCTGCAGTCACATGTAAAAGTTTTGATGGAACATACACTCAAAGCAATGCAGCAGTCTGGAGTTTTGGTCCCAGGCGAATGAAGGGTTAAAATATGCTGTCCGTATCATGATTTGGGTTATAGGCCTATCGCTCCTAAAATGGCTGATTATTTGTTTCTTCCGAAGTCATGGGTGTTGAGGCTTTGTCTGTTCTTTATGTCACAGATGATTTGATGTGACTGCGTCCTGCTGTGTATACTATACAGTATATAGTACGGTAGCTTTATTAAAGGGATCCATGAACTTTGTCTCGGATCCTTAAAAAAAATCCTTGATTATAGCTCATGCTGCAATAATAGTTATAAACCTTTAGGTCATTCAGGAACCCCATGAATTTTACAAGCCGATCGCCTGTCTGATTATCAAGATATTTATGATTGGAAATTGAAACCAAATTTTGCGTTTTCCTAACAGTTTTCATAACACTACAGTCTATTGGGGAAAACGAGTATGGTAAAACTGGTCACTCAAAGATTTTTACTTTTTTGAGGCACTTCCTGATCATTTCGAAGCTCAATTTTTGTTTTGCTTCAATATTACACCATATCACAGACGCTGATAACACGTAGGGCCGTGCATCTCAGATTTAACATTGTTAAACGATGCATTTAATAGATGTTTTAGTCCTGATATTTCTTGTGTTTGTTGATGTTTGCTTTACACATTGTGCAATGGTGCCCTCTGGGTTTCACCTCACAACCATAGCATTTTTACAGAGATACCGGTAGTTGTGACACAAGTATGCAAGCATATGCAAAGGTCAAGGTATAGAGTTCCAATTATGTCCCTCCCATATATAACCTTTAGGCTATTTAGTATTGTCCTTTGTGACCAATCTCGAAATCTATGGTCGGCTTTTTATTAACTTATTTGTTTCAGAACTGTTTTAAGAAGAAAAAAAGAAAGAAAAAGTGTATTAAAGCCGGTCTGCACTAGTTTGGCCAGGGCAGATTAGACCTCCCTGCATGGTCACTGACAGGTGGTTACCTCATCAAATCAGCTCTCAATTAATATTAGAAAAAGAGGATCATGGGGGACCAACAGGCACCGATTAGGCATCGTTTGCTATATAGAGGGCTCAAGTAGCTATAAGTAGTGCAGTGGGGCTTTAAAGCTTTCAAAACTGAAAAATATCAGTCCTAAGAGGGGAAAAAAGAAGAAAATCAACAGACCAACCCATGTGTTGGCACTTAAAGGGCAATACAACATCTTTTGGGGGGGCTTCATGGTAGGGAACTGTTTTTGTGCTCCATGAATTGGAGCTCTGAATTGGAGCAAGCTCTGTTCTGTTGATAGCACTACACAGTTTCTCTACTCGATCTACCAGCTATGCTGACAGCTGTATAGCCCCCTCTCTGTTAACAGTTGGTCGTACAAGCATTCTTTGTAAAGATGAACTTTAACTGACATATTTGATAACTTAGCGTGTGACAAAGTGTACCATGCCTGTAACAGATATTAACCAAATAGTGAATCAGTGGACTATATTGACATTACTATAATTAAGTGGGTACTGGTTATTTGCTGTAACATACATTCTGCAAATTGACTACTCCCATATGTTGCCAAGATATGTCCATCACGATTGCTATCATTTATTCATTCTCCAAGTGGCCTATGCTTTGATATTGATTCCTAATATTGATACATGCATTTATAGATTCACAGTAATGGTATCTTATTTCATATATTTTGCCATTACCAATTAGAAATATGACTTGCTGATTTACTGACAACATACTCATTTATTTTCCTGTTATTTTTACATTTCAAAATTGTAGCAGGTAATATATTTTACAAGTTACATATGCAAATATTTTACTATTGAGTTGATTATGATATATATTTATGAGCTATTACTCTTATGTTAAACAAGTTCAAAGTTAGAAACATATTCGCTATTGTGTCCCCCATTTATTTTGGTTAGCTGACAATATCATTATTGCTCCCAATCCAATCCGATCCAATAATTGGTTTATCACTTTTCTTGTGGTTTTGCAAAGTACTTCATAACCTTTGCTACAAGTACTATGAAGAACTCTTACGTAATAAAACACTTTTACCTTTGCACAAATGATTTGCTATGCAGCTAACATCCTTTCAGAAGTTTAAATTTCAGTTTTGATGCGAGATCATATTCAATTTTTGAAATGACGTCACAACTTCATAATAATACAAAGCAGACAATTCTATAGGATTCATGAAACATACAGTTTTAATATATGGGAGGACTAGGGGGTTTGTTAAAACTAGGACATTTGACTAAGCTTTGAAAGGTTATGTCATTTCGAAATTGAAATTATTTCCAGTTTCCATCTGTAGCATTCCTTGTTGTGCAGAGCACATACTCTATTTATTTTATGTCAAACAAGTATGACCATTTTTTCTTTAACCTTATATTCCAAAATATTTGTGTGAGAGCTGGTCTCTCATGGGCAGAAAAAATCTCCCCACTTGCAATCTTTTTGTAGTTTTGTGTTTCATAAAAATTGTTATACCTTGAATACCTTGAATACCAAAGCTTCTGGAAGAAAGCCATCTCCAGCTGCCAAGCTTCCAGGTCTAAATTCAAGGGGGGGGGGGGGGGCTTTTGGGTCTTGCACCATTGTCTATTGCTCCTTCTTCCAGTGTTTGTCAAGTCTGGCTTTAAATTTCTATGAAATATTTGCTCCCAGCCAATCAAATGCCATGATTTGCTCCAAGCCAATCAAATGCCAATCATATCCGGATTATGTTTATGTTATAACAGTTATTGGAACTTATTATTGATCACAAGTTTTATGAACATGGTGTTCTGACAATTCTTTTGTTCATGTGCTTATTATTTATCATATTTTTTGCATCTTATTTAGGCTGAGCAATTGAGTGCAAAAGTGTGTGATATTGCTGGCTTTGAGCTAGTAACTGTGCTCGCTATCAAATATTTGAGAGCTGCTGCCTAGTCCAGTCCATAATTGCTGTAGTTAAAGAAGAACTTCTTTTTAGAGGCTGAGAATTATGATATGAACATATTTTGTTAAAAGTAAAATCGCTTCAAACGAAATGCTTGCCAAACTGAGTAAAACCTAAGGTGCTGTTATTGGTTAAACAGGGAACAAAAAGATTGTTGATATATTTATTTCCTAATTGTTTTTGTAAAAAGTGTGTCTTTAGCTTGCTTATTTGTAAAGATGCTAACAGTACTTTTCTGCTTCAAAAGTATGATTTTATGGAAAATTGTGTGCAGTCACTCCGGCCCTATCTTATATTCATCTTGATTCCCATGCATCTATATATGAGAAATGGTTAAATATTGACTGTAACTGAAGCTTTGCCCAATCTGTTTGATGTATGTACAGTCAATCATTTCATATTGATCACCTCTCTTTAAGGTTGCCTGTCTTTAGTGGACATACATTTTGCCTACCTCAAGATATAAGTTTGTTTTGTAGCACCTGTTTAAAAAAGGCCATCTGTCTGTAGAGGCCAATTATTCTGTTTCTCTTTGTTTGTATTATGACTGTAAATTTATCAGTTAAACATTATTTTTACTTATAAAGTATTCAGATTTAATCAAGGGTCTGTGTAAGTTCCCAAGTTATATTTGTCATGCGTAGCTTTACGAACAGCTTCATGAAACACCCCCTGGTATTAATATTACAGCACTGAGAAACATTAGTATGATTGAGCGTTAATCATTGTTTCTATTATGATCTACATGTACGTCAGAAAAGAGGGAAAAACTTTGATTTAAAACCAAGGTTACTTCCCCCACTGCTCTCCCTCTCCCACACATCAAACACATCCACATACACAAACAAAGCACCCCAACAAAGCCACCTGTTCAAACATTATTTTTCTTTCATAGTGGAACTTGAACTTGCCAGACTATTTCAGCTTGGAATATGACACCCAATTTTGAGGTTGATTATTAAAAAAGAAATTCAATTTAATGAGCATGACTTACAAACATAAACCTGTACAGTATCTACCCTGGGTCATGAACTATAACAATATTGTTAAAGGGTTAATGATTTAAGTA